GATTTATCATTAGTACGATACGTTATTACAGAAAATAGAAAGTAAAAACGAATATTTTGTACAATGCACTAGTATTTAAATATAGCAGTACGCCACGTTTTCATGGAACCATGAGCCTCACTTTCAGGTTTTGTTTGGCCACATTTGCTACAAGCTTGAGGTCAGTTACTCTCTTGTTGGAAGATTAATATTTGCGAAACAGGTCGTGTTCCTGATGGAATGTAATAATGGATAAAAATCTGACTGTACCTGTCAGCAGTCAGGATGCCATCAATTTTGAGTAGATTTCCAACACCATTGACTATATTACACTCCCCCGTCTAATATGCCTAACTGTAGAGACTGTGTGTTGACTATAATACCATTCATCTATCTATCATTTATTGTTGCAGACAAATTTGAAATTTGATTCTTTTTTTTTATTCATTCATAAAGTTACTGCCGTCTCTCACTTTGCTCAGCCCATTGTTCTAAGTCTGATGCTCATTTTCAGCATATTGGTTAGGTTATTTGAGCAGTTACACATTCACTGAGACCACTTTATTAGAGGTAATATTCACAGTTGTAGATACAGATAAGTTATTGAGAAGATCTACTGGATTTTCGAGTACCACGTAAAGAGCATAGTAGCATATCTTAAGTTATTTGACATCACTTTTTGGTTTTCTACATCAATAACTTCTATTACAAACACTACTGCTTTTATTACTTACTTATTTACTTCAGACTTTCCATAAAGCTGTTGGTGTCATACAGGATGCACAAAATACACTCATAACCATAAAAATGCAACAGTAATTCCCTAACCAATGCAACAGCAAAAATATGGGTTGTGCTATATTGTGGAATGCAGTTAAAAATACCCGTAACTAGGTACGTGCAATAACAATTTCCCAGTCAACAGTTTTAGCCAGAAATATAGGTAGAAAAATAAGAGCATCTCTCTACTAAAAATGTTCAAATAGGCAGGCTTAGAAATAAATAACTTGTTACACAGACGGCCTGAAGAGTCCTAGCTTATAATTAGTATTAACTTCTGTTCATAACCCATTAGCTTATAATTAATATTAACTTCTTATTATAACCCCTTAATTTATAATTAATATTAACTTCTGGTCATAACCCCTTAGCTTATAATTAATATTAATTTCTGTTCCAAGCAAGTTACCTACATAAATCAGAACTAAAAGCCCCCAGTGGCACAGTGGTATGTTTGCGAACTTAAAACCCTGGAAACCGGGTTTCGATACCCTTGATGAGCAGAGCACAGATAGCCCATTATGTAGCTTTGTGCTTAATTACAAACAAACAAACAGAACTAAAAATAAACCAGCAATAAGTATAGCTAAACGAGTTACCTATTTTTGCTTACAATGCAATTATTTGATCAATTTGGCAATGTATCCTCACCGTTAAAGATATTTTGTTACTAATGGTATTAGTAATTTTTAAAGGAAACTAAAAATAATCGGTTTTAAAAATCAGAGACAGCCAGTGGCTTGTAAAAGATGGAGGCGCACGTGACTTGCCAAGTTTTAGGCCGTCCAGATTGTAAACACCCTTGTTGATAATGTATGGAATTATAGGGTATTTCCGGTAATATTTAGCTTATAAGAAAATGTCTATACATAATATTTCAGTACATCCGGGTTACACAACTTCACATTTACGTAATACTGTATACTTGAACGTGCATCGTCACGTGCTTCACATTAAAATCAATGTTTCATAGTCTACTCCCTTTGGTTATTAACTTTGTATTAACAAATTTACATAACAAGTAATCAGACTATTTATTGTTCTAATTATTTTGAACGTAATACTTTAATGTAAAGTAAATATACTGATGTAAACTCAAATTCCCAGTAACTGGTCTAACTCATCGTTGAAAAGTTACTTTATTAGATGTCGATTTGGTTGTTATAATAACAAGAACAGCACAGATAAGTTATTATTTATCCTTGAATCTAACAACATACAGATGATACTATTTAAAACACACCTTCCTGAATCCCAAAATATGTAACAGAGACTCCAGTAGTAAACCTAAAGATAAAGTTAATTACTAACATGAAGTTTCATAATTTTTGTAATTATGTGTACAAGTTTGGCTGTGAAACTAGATGGTTTAGGTAATAAAATAGTATGATATTCAAATATCAAGTCCATAAAAGTGTGTGAAAATTACATTTAAAAACATACAGCTGAGCCCTCCCTCCCCCAGTGATTCAACACTAAGTCTGAAAGCTTACAGCGCTAACAGTTGGGTTTTAATACAAGTTGTGTACACAGCACTGATAGCCCATTGTATGACCTTGTACTTAACAACAAACAAACATACAACTCACACACGTACACGGGGAGATCTCCCTATTTTTGTGGTGTAAAAAAATATACTTATATGGTTAGAGCGCAGCTGCTTATGGCATTTAACGTTTTATACATAACCCTCTCAAGTGGCACAGCAGTATGTCTGCCAACTTACAACACTAGAAACCCGGTTTCGATACCTGTAGTGGGCAGAGCATAGATAGCCCATTGTACAGCTTTGTGCTTAACTACAAACAAAGAAACAATTCTACATTTTTTGTCTTCAAATAGTCGCGTGCCACCAGACCCCCATTAGCTTGTTGATTGTGTTTCCCTTACTATGTGTTGGCATTCGAGGTCACAAGTTAGACCCACTCCCTTCTACGTACGGGCCTGCAACTGTGCCTTTTTAACCCATAGAACCGTGTGTTTAGACCTTAGATATAAAATATTTGTATTTTAATATTTTTTAAATCCAAAATAAAATGTGATTCTAAGATTGCTTAAGTTACGTGTAGTTAGGTCTGTAGAACAGTGTATAGTATACATAACAAAATGTGTGAATATTTTAATATACTTAGTCATAAACATAATACACCCACAATATTGTACGTAATTTTAAAAATAAGCTATAATTTTATGTTACAATAGCAACAGATACTAATGGTAATGTTGGATTATTTTTTGAGATACATCAACTTTATGTTTTTTGGTGTAAGTTCTTTCTTCCTAACATCAGGTTATATGGTGACTAGTTACAAATATTGTGCTGTTTCACCTAGTTAGGATTGTTTCTAACCATACACTGTTTAAGTCACTTAACACTTTTTCACATTATCATTAATTAGGTTTTACCAGGTAACCATTTCAACTTTAACCATGTTGTGTTTTTACCAGATAACCATTTAAACTTTAACCATGTTGTGGTTTTTACCAGCTAACCATTTGAACTTCAACCATGTTGTGGTTTTACCAGATAATCATTTAAACTTTAACCATGTTGTGGTTTTTACCAGCTAACCATTTGAACTTCAACCATGTTGTGGTTTTACCAGCTAACCATATGAATTTCAACCATGTTGTGGTTTTACCAGATAATCATTTAAACTTTAACAATGTTGTGTTTTTTACCAGCTAACCATATGAATTTCAACCATGTTGTGGTTTTACCAAATAATCATTTAAACTTTAACAATGTGTTTTTTACCAGCTAACCATTTGAACTTCAACCATGTTGTGGTTTTACCAGATAATCATTTAAACTTTAACCATGTTGTGTTTTTTACCAGCTAACCATTTGAATTTCAACCATGTTGTGGTTTTACCAGATAATCATTTCAACTTTAACCATGTTGTGTTTTTTTTACTAGGTTACCACTTATTCTTACCATTAATATGTACTGTTTGCCGAAACTGACCAGTGTTAATTCTTCTTCTTTTGCTATTTGTACCTGACACTTGTGTTAGATCAGTACAAACATAGTTAAGTGCTTGTGTCCATTCTTCTGTGTGACACGTTTATATCTCCAATTGTAATTACATATTTCTACCACATTCTTAACGAGTTTCTGATGTTTATCAAGTTGTTACGTGACAGTTTCTAGAAATGGAGGATCAATTATATTACTTTAGTTTATGAGATTCAAACTGCTTTTGCTACAGTAAATAAGACCATCAGAAAACATCACCTTTATTTCCCTTTTATATATACAATTTAAAAAAATATACATAGTTTCTTGATTCAATATTACACTAAAATGTGCCATAATATGTTTTTATTTTTCCCCATTCCACACGTTAATAATGTCTTTTGTTAAGCCTTTACTTCCTACAACTTTATAAGTTTAAATCTGTAATTTCTCATAAATATTAAAATTGTGTGATTATTATATTTAATGTTAAGACTAATTAACCACATAAATTAAATAAACGAGAAATAAAAAGACAAACACCTACACTGTGGAATGTATAAGTATTCAGAGTAAACTAGTACGAAAGAAAAACAATGCAAATACAATGAATGACAAAGCAAATAACTTGAAAAAAAAAATCATGTAAACCAAACCAGAAGTATGTCTTGTATTTATTGAGTTTGTTTCTTCTAAAGCTCCTTATAGGAGCCCCGGTGATCAGCAGTAAGTTTACGAACTTAAAACGCTAAAATACAGGGTTCGATTCCCCGTGGTGGATAAAGCGACTGCTAGACCATTGTTTAGGTTTGCGCTAAAGAACAAACAATCAGTTATTGAAAAAGGTTAACAACATACATCTAAATGAAAATTAATTTCGAACACATGTCCTTCGTCAGGCGTAATAAGCGTTTAAGTAAAGTACAAGTTATATATAGTAATGTAACTGAAAAAAACAAAAAACATGGTGCTTGTATATAAAAAAACATACTATTTGAAACCAAATATCGTTACGTTAATGTGGCATGACGTAATAATTAAGTTAATAAAAGAAACATAATAAATAGAAGAAAACAGTTTTGAGTTGTTTTAAATTTCGCGCAAAGCAACACGAGGGCTATCTGCGCTAGCCGTCCCTAATTTAGCAGTGATAAACAGCTAGTTAACACCACCCACCGCCAACTCTTTTACCAACGAACAGTGGGATTGACCGACACATTATACCACCCCCACGGCTGAAAGGGCAAGTATGTTTGATGAGACAGGGTTTCGAACCTTTGACTCTCAGATTGCTAGTCAAGCGCCCTAACCACCAGGCCTAGAATAAAACAGAACAAAAATATAGTAAAAGAAACAGCGTTTCCCAAAGTGTGGGGCTACGCTCCCTCCCCCGAGAGGGTTTAAATCACCCTCTCTCTCTCTCTTTGTTTTTATTTTTAGCGCAAAGCTACACCATAGGCTATCTGTGTTTTGTCTGCAAAGAGAAATTGAATACCGGATTTTACCATTGTAAGTCCGTAAACTTACCGCTGAGCCACTAGGAGGGACCACACGTGTTTTATTAATATTCTTAATACCTTCCGCGTCTTACACCCTTTTTTTTTTTGTACTATTGCCTGTACCATTTTCACATGCCTTTTTTGGCAAACAGAAACTACTTTCTTCATGATCAGAAAAAAGTTATTACTCTGTGACGTACAATTGTAGTTTACATTTTTTGTAACTGGTGGGAAAATTGTGGTTGGTGGTGAATGCATGCTGTTTGAAAGAGCATAACCAAATACCCAGTTCGTGTTATTTTTCAGTGACTTTTGTCACCGATACGAAAGCTTCCAGCAGGGATATCTATACAGTCACATACTCCATACAAAGTACTTAACTGGATGACATAATCAAACTCAGACCAGGAATAATTAGTAGAACGATCTTGCTTATTTCGAACCTGTATACGTTGCTCCATTTACAATATAGAAAAATTTGTTTAACCTTTTACACATTTATTTTGTAGGTTTGATAAATCAAGAGGTAAAAACGTGTCGCATGAGAGAGCCGAATTTTACCTCAAACAGTAGTATCTTGATAGGACAGTCGGTCTATAATTAAGTACTCTTGCTATTATTACTTTGTGTGCTGACATCACCTAGTTATTCGACTCGTTTTAAAAACAAACAACAACACATTTTATAAACAATGGCTAAAGTTTACATGGGATAATGCTTCTTCTTCTTCTAGTGTTAGCACCGGTGACTTTTTTTTTGTTTTGTTTATTTACGGGTTTTCATTCAGTGCACGTCATTTATACACATATATGGACTGGTAAATGCCGTTCCCGTTCAAAGCTCTTACCCTTTGGTAAGGTTTCCATGGTGATTTCCATGTTGTTTCGTTTAAATGCGATGTTCACGATGACGTTTATTTCACGTTTGTGTTCAAATTGCATATCGTATTTAAAATCTAATAACAGTTACTTTCAAACGATATCAATGCTAACTGTCACATGTGAGGCTTAAGCTCATAGACACGACGCTTGCATCTTCTATTCAGTTAAGTCTAATGAATCACTTAAGTTTTGAAAGCAGTCTTTTTCCACCTGGAGGTGGTGTGCCATTTTCAGCCACTGTTAAGTTTAAATGACCGTGGTCACTTTGTTCTTTGTTTCTTCCATACGATATTCCTGTTTGACTTGTTTCTCGAGCCGCTTCTCTCCTACCCTGCTGTCCACGAAAAACAGTATTGCTGCCAAGTAGTCCAGAAGAGTGCCTAGCACTCCCAGAGCGAATGACCAGGACAAAAAGTTATGGTCAGGATCTGGCATCCAATCACGACCATCTCCACGTGCTCCGAACGTGATGACAGCAATAGTACAGAATGCACCTAGATTTAATAATCACGTTGGTTAAGGGTATTTCTATCATCAATAAAATTCAATGTAATACATACAGTTTAATATGTTGTTTTATTTATTTAATTATACTGTAATAAGTTTCAATAGAGTAATTATATCTTACGCCACGCAGATTGTGTTTGTTCTCAGTACGAAAATTTCGCATTCCCAATCGTACTTTACCATTCTGTATTCTAAATGTTCAACTTAACACAATTCACAACACTAATATTTTTGCTAAACAAGACGCGAGTTTCTTTATTTTCTTCTTTTACTCAATTAATATGGGGATAAACAAATATTATATACAAAAATTAGACAAAATTAGGACAGAGATGTCTTCAAAAGTTTGATTCTAATTACGGCATGGGCGTATTATTTGGCTAACATGTCCACAAGTTAAAACTAAGTACGGAATAAAGAAAAGTATGTGATATATTTATTAGTTTAACTGAACAGAATACTTCAGTAGTAGTTTTCTTTTTTATAAATAAAACAAACCAGATAACGTTAAAACGTCTGGTTTTATGGTAATTTTGTGGCAAGTATTAACAGTGAACTCTAAGACCTATATTTCACCAATACTTACTTGATATGAACAGTACTATACTGAGTATCTTTATTACAAATGTTTCCTTTTCGTGGGGCACACAAAACAAAGCAGCTACTAGCATCATGCATCCCAAGAGCAGTCCTACGAACCCCAAGGTAAAGAACACCTGCACTACCACGAAAAAGGCTAAAAACACCACCACAAAATTCTGTTAACGTCAATAAACAGCAAAGTAAAAACAAAAACACGTTTAACTAAGTTAACAAATAACAGGTACCATAAAATACCATCTCAAACTTCTTACGTACATTTGACATCATATGTTGTTTCATTTATTTTTCTACAAAATTAAATACTGAGTATTTGTTATATTTTGTCCGTCACAGTGCAGTGTAACAAACTGGGTCTGGAATATTAATATTTTACTTTCCTTTTACTTTAAATCCACAATTAAGAGGAATATGGTTACTAATAAAATTAAAAAGCGGCTTAATCATAGTTAATAGGCGTAATTAATTTTATGGCTTCGCCAATTTCAGCGTATTCTACCACTACGCTGAGTTTTAAGCTGGTTTTAAATATGGCAAACAGCTGCAAAACTGACGAACTCAGGTACTGAACGAAAGATCATATGATGAATAATAAAAAATTATGATAACCTAATGACTGAAGACAGGCATGAATTAAAGTAAAACTGTTAGGCCTGATGAATTTCTTTCGTAAGTTTTGGCTTTACATACAACAATATTACTGAAAAGAGGTATGGTGATTAAAGGACGTACACATTTTACGTATTTCGAAGTGTTTTACTTTTTTTTTCTGTGATGAATGTTGTATTATTCTGTAGTTGTAATGAGAAATGTTTCATAAACATTTCAAATATATTTTACGAAGTTTTTGTTTGTTTTTTAAGTAGGATAACTTATAAGGAGCATTACTGATCCGAAATCCACATACGCCTAATTCGTGTTGTTTTTCCGTGTTATTGTTCAGCAGATGGTTGCAGAATTGGTACAGTAAATTGCGACTAGTTACTTCTGGAACATTGCATGCCTTGTATGTCTAGTTTAGCATGAGCTCCTGGACGAGTCCATTTGTTATAATACTAGGGGATTACATCTTATAAGGCTGGGCTAACATATCTTTATTGTTACACAACTTGACCTGAATGTTGTATTATCGTGTAACTAGTGGAGTGGACGTAGTAACTTTTAAACCTCGGGAAAGCAGGATCAAACCAACGAGGGGGGGGGCTAAGAGAGAAACAGAGTAAAGCTACTGATTCTTAATGCCTCTGATGGTAGATCAATAAAAAATAACCTAGAATATAGGTAATACTAACCGTAGGCTTGTATTTCGTTATAATTATTAACATTTTCATGTTATATATTTCTTAATGATAGTAAAGTCGATAGCTTTTACATATCATACGATGTAGCTTAAATTAATGAATTTATAATGCAAATAGAATATGCAGTATTTTGATAGTTTTACTAAATTTAATAGAAACAAAACATACAGATAATATATAGGGGTTTTTGAGTCCGTAAGGGTACGGCCAACCAAATGCATTAGGTCTCTACGTCACTGATTCTGTTTTCAATTTCACTTCTGGTGAAAAAAAAAACAAAAAACAAAACCCTTAACATATATATTATATATATACACAAAACATACAGATGTTAGTTAGTTACGCTGTCCGCCTACTGAACAAAGACAAATATGGACCCACCCACCCCCGTCTTGAACAATATATAATTTTATGTGTGTAAAAAAAAGAATGTACTCACCAAAAAAATACATGATCGCAACAGCAGAACTGTAGCATAACAATGTAAAATTATATTATCTATACAAAA